ATGGATACCTAATTCTGGAAAGTGCAAAATGCCAAGTGTTAGAAAACAGGTACTTATTATAGAATTTGGAATAATTGGACTATTCCTTTTGTCAGAAATTATGAACATGTCATCATGCTGGATGCAGCTACTAAGAAGATTGATGAATTCCATCAACTGGTTAAATATGGAGGCAAGTCATTCCATTTAATTGTTCTATCAGGAAATTTATCTTGTTCTAGGTTGCTTCTATCCTTGATTAGTTTCTATTCATTGCTTCCTGTCCTGCCTTCTTGTCCTTTGGAGAATACGTTGACCCCCTCTCCTTAGATATTGGAACACTATGGGCTATTAATAGCCCTTTCTGATGTATGTCTCACAAGGAGTTAACTAGGAATTATAGTACTTGACTCTAATAATTAACAAGGGTCATTTTGAAAAAGGCTGTTTTTGGAATAGTTGGCTTAGGGCTTGAAAGATTAGAGCAAAGATTTGGAATTAAGCCTAGAAATAATTGGACTAGACTGGGACTAATATGGCTGTTACTATATTGTCATGAATCATTAAACAAGGAAGATGGGAACTGGCCAGCCAAATGCTTCTGAGGCATCATGTCAAAGTTATAGTTAGTCTACATCATTTACCAGTAAGAGGTTTGTTTGTTTTTCTGTTTTGCCTTTGACTCATTGCTGGAGACTATTGGGACAGGGCCATGCGGTTATCCAGGCAACAATGTATTTTGTCACTACCTCTTTAGAGCTGAGAGAAAGTGATGAGCCTGAAATCACCCAATTAGCTCCTGTGCCTAAAGGAAATTTAAATTAGTTTTAAATTTCCCCACTGCTAGTCCAGCCATTAACCACTAGACCAGACCAGCTCTCATTCAGAATGATCTATTTTAATTATAGAAATTCCATTGCAGCTGTGCTGGATAATAATGTGAATATTATTTAATGTGCTAGCAGTATTAAGAGTTATTCTCCACAATTATATTTAAAGCTTAATGACCTCTAATCAATAATTGTTCCATACTATTGTTCCATAATAATGGCCTTGTTGTTCTAGATTACTCTTTTCCAGGTTCTGTCGTTAGGGAGGGACTAAGTAGTATTTCCAGTCATTTAGAGACCCTTAAGTCAATATCAAGATTTTGAAACTTACTCAAAGCAAATAGAAGAACATTGTAATTACAACCAACTAGGGATATTGTCCAAAACAATGCATCATAAAATCCAGGTTATGAAGCTTTTTTTAAATAAAAAAATAGTTCCTAATTAAGCAAAAATAGCCCAGAGTTATTACCAGTACGGCAATGTACAAATTGTGTGTTTGTGTACATAGAGGATCCCACACATATGTATATATAGGACCCAAGTTGCAGACTGCAGAGAGGCTGTGCCACACTTAGTAACAGGATGTAAGAGGCAGGTAAGAAGGAACAGCTTGCGTGAAAAGGCACAACTAACTAGTTGGCTTATATATAGGAACGTCTGCATGGTGTGCAGACTATATTTTCTCAAGTCCGGATAAAGATTTCCACAGAAGGTCATGGAGAATTAAGAGGGCTGAGATCCTGTGGAACTTCCAGATCCAGATGGACAGGCAGGTACTGCTCAATCAACAGCAATAGCAATAGCACTTAGACTCATATACCACTTCACAGTGCTTCACAGCCCTCTCTAAGCAGTTTACAGAGTCAGCATATTGCCCCCAACAATTTGGGACCTCATTTTACCGACCTCAGAAGGATGGAAGGCTGAGTCAACTTTAATCAACCAGACATTGTAGTAGAAGACAAGAACCAGAAGATGGTGATAGATACAGTGGTACCAAATGACAGCAACATCTGGGAGAAGAAGGAATATGAGACACTGGAAAAATATTGGGGCCTGAAGGAGGTATTAGAGGGGATGTGGAAAATAAAAGCAAAAAATGATACCAATGGTAACAGGAGCACTTGGGGCTGCAAGTCCTAAGCTGGGAGAATGGCTTCAACAGATGCCAGGAACAACAGTTAGTGCTTTGTGTATTTCATGTCTCAGTGAATATTGAATAAGGGTTAGTTGCATTAGCCTTCCTGTTGGAGATGCAATTCAAAAAATGAAATATTAATTCATATGGTTTCCATTTGCCCTAACTGTGCAAACCTTTGGGCTAAATTTGAATAATTAATAGGATAATTAGGCGATCAAACCCGTCAATCCTAGAGGAGATCAACCCTGACTGCTCTTTAGAAGGCCAGATCCTGAAGTTGAAACTCAAATACTTTGGCCACCTAATGAGAAGGAAGGACTCACTGGAGAAGAGCCTAATGCTGGGAAAGATTGAGGGCAATAGAAGAAGGGGACGACAGAGAAGGAGGATGGAGTCACTGAAGCAGTAGGCGTGAGCTTAAATGGACTCCAAAAGATGGTAGAGGACAGGAAGGCCTGGAGGAACGTTGTCCATGGGGTCGCGATGGGTCGGACACAACTTCGCAACTAACAAAGAACATTGCATATGAGACATACATATATTCTTCTTATACAGATAGTCCTCAACTTACAACCATTCATTTAGTGAACAAAGTTACAATGACACTGAAAAAAGTGACATGACCATTTTTCACGTGGACGAGTGTTACCACATCCCCACAGTCATGTGATAAAAATTTGTACACTTGGCAACTGGTGTCCTGGGTTCTTGTGATCACCTTTTTGCCAGATTCACTTAAAAACCGGGTTACTAACTTAACTGCAGTTGTTCACTTAACTATGGCAAGAAGGGTCCTAAAATGGGGCAAAACTCCACAAATGTCTTGTTGAAATGTTAAATAATGTTAATAAAACTATTTTATTTGCATTTAGTTTATTTTAATAAATATCACTTATTGACAGTACTGGTTCCTCTGAAGTAGAATATTCTAATTCACATCAGGCTTCTTTAAAAAGAATTTTAGTTTCAACTATTTATTCATTTCAGAAGAAAGAGTAAATCATGACACATCACTTGGGTGAAACACAAAACAACTGATAGCAAAGCTGCTGCATTTTGACACATGCTTTTTGTTCCTAGATGATCACTGTTAATATGATATGTAGAAATAAGGATAAGTTTCAATGTTTTCCATACCTTTAACCACTGTAAAATACTTAGTGTAAATATTTGAATTACTGTTATGTATTTTTACGAGTGTGTGTCAACTACAGCCCAGGTTTAGGAGCTAAGCATCATGTGACAGAGTGAGCTCCCATTACTTGCCCCAGTTCCTGCTCACCTAGCATTTTGAAAGCTTACAAATGCAAGTCAATAAATTTGTACCACCTCTATGGGAAGGTCACACCATTCTGTGTCCCTTGGTGTATAGCCATGTTGGCTACATGACCACAAAAGTGTTTTTGAACAATGCAGGCTCCCTCAGCTAAGAAATGGAGATGAGCACCACCCACTAGAGTCGGACCTGATTGGACAGAGGAAACCTTTATCTTTACTTTTTTATTTTTAAAGATGCTTGGTATCCTGAAGCAAAATGAGATCTGAGCTGCAAAAATGTAGAAGCCCACTAGATGGGGGAGCAAAATAGCATGACGCATATCCTTTGCTGCTCTCTCGAGTTTCTCTTGGTTTTGTCAGCCTGTGCATTCTAGACTCACCTTGGCTACAAAGCCATCTGGGTGACCTTTGGCTAGTCACTTTCTCTCAGCCTTAGGAAGGAGGCAATGTAAAACCACTTCTGAAAAACCTGGCCAAGAAAACTGCAGGGACTTGTCCAGGCAGTCTCCAAAAACTGGACACAGTTGAATGGAAATTAAAAACAAAACAAAACCCTGTAGTGCAGTGGTTCTCAACCTGTGGGTCGGGACCCCATTTGGGATTGAACGACCATTTCACGGTCGCCAAACAATGCAGTCCGCCATTTTTTCCCCCTTTTTCTTAGCTGTGCTACTCCCTTTTATTCTATTGGCTTTCAAAAGCCAATAGGAATTGTCCAGGCTGTCTCTGCCCTGCTGAGCCCGCCAAAAGTCCCATTCTGCAAACGATGCTGCACCAGTTGAGTAGACCTCGACTTACGACCAGTTGGGGGTCACGGCATTAAAAAGGTTGAGAACCACTGCTGTAGTGTAATTTTTTTTTTACTTTCAGAATGCTTAATGTGAAGCAACTGGAAGGTTAATGGCTAAAAAAAATAATTTAGCATTTTGACAGACTTTTATATATAGAAAAGGAGTAATCTAATCACTGTGTTGCAGGCAGTGATTAGATTCATAAAGCCAATTAATCTGTTATCAGTAAACTATTGTTAAATAAACTAGTTTGAGTTTAAATATCACGCTAAGCCTTATTTGCTAGATTCGGCGTGGAGAACCTGACCTGGCATCAGGAATTTGGGATTCAGTTTGTGTAATCCCACTAAGCTATATATATATATCATGGCTTAGAAAGAAAGAGACAGAGAGTAAGAGACTATGCTGATTGTATAAGGTTATGATATAACAAGGAAAAAGCACCCACTTCTAATTAGTACTAATAGGAGGGGGGCACTTTACACGTGATCTCCAGTGTTTATCCCTTGTCTGGGCTGTAAACTTCAGGGCAAGCATCCTTGGATGACAACTGAGAGTCTGAAGATTCAGTGCCATCTAGTGACCATTTAGATTTTTGCAGCCTATATGTGATAACCCTGGGTTATTCAGTGTATGGATGTTTTTGTTCCCATCACAAGAGGGAGATGGAATTCAATACCCTAAATCAGGGGTAGGCAACCGGCTCTTTTATGACTCGTGGACTTCAACTCCCAGAATTCCTGAGTCAGCATATCATAGCTGACTCAGGAATTCTGGGAGTTGAAGTCCATGAGTCATAAAAGAGCCGAGGTTGCCTACCCCTGCCCTAAATGCTCAACTTCATGATTCTTTGTTTTTTAAAAAGGCAATACTCGATTTATGGAACTATGCGCCCTTATAACAGTGTTATTCTTTCGGTAGTTATGAGACTACTGTTACTTTACAGTGGCGGGGGGGGGGGGAAGCAAGTCTCTGGATACCCTAACACAGTGTTTCTCAACCTTGACAATTTTAAGGCATCCACATGCCTTAAAATTGTCACGGTTGAGAAACACTGCGCCTAACACGAAGTTAGGGGCACGCGCTGGGCTTAATTATACTGTGATCCCTTTGATATTGGTTAGCGTGCATCGGCCACATCCAGCAGTTGGTCAACGCAACAGTGGCTTAAGCTGAACCACGCGGTACGGAGACACCGGTAACTCCTAACCGAGTCTGCAAAATCGAGCCATCCTTGCAGCGGGTTTTCCACCGCCCCTAGGATTCCCCCAAATGTAAGGCACCGGGCGTCGGTCCTGGGAATCGGCATCCTGGGAGTTGTGGTCCAACGCGCTCGGAGGCTCTCCGGCTGGGGGAAGCCCGCACCGGCGAAAAGCGATTCGGCCGCGCCTGGAAGACTCATGCGCTCTGGGAGGAGACGTGGCAGGGTAGTATCCCTGAGTCTCCTCCCCTCCAGTTTGGCTCTGCGGTCACTTCCTGCAGCTGTTCGCATCTGTGTCCGGTTATGCTACGCCCTCCCCCCGGTCTCAGCCTCTCTCCTTGGTTAGACAGGCAGCGGGGCTGGGGAAGATGGGAAGAGCGAGCCCAAGGTGCTGAGCCCGCACCGGAGCGCGCCGCAGCCGGCGATCGGCGTCCTGGAGGAGGCGACTGACGCCCGCGCACCTCCCTCTCCTCTTCCAGCTCTTAGAAAGCCGGTAGGTTCATGCCGTCTTCTTCCCTCCCTGCCTTCCTTCTCTTCCGGAGATTTGGCGTGGGAGAGCCGTCACCCGGCAGACCCCGGCGAGGAAGCGGAGGCTCCGGCTCTGCCTTTCGTGGTTCGGGGCTTTGACACCTCTGTTGCAGCCGTTGTTGTTTAGCTTGGCTTTGGGGAAAAGTCTTTGAAGTGGCTGCAAGGCGATGCACATCTGTATCTGGAAAGGGAGAGGCAGGACTGGATCGGATCGAGAAGGCGAGGGAGAGAGGAAACTCATGATGGTGATGATGAGGATGGCGATGATGGTATCAATCCCTTGCAGTTTAGCAGTCTGTCGTGAGACCCCCAGAACACTGGAGCAAGAGAGAGAGAGAGAGAGAGAAAACCCAGCTAGTCCTCAATTTACTATCACAATAGAGTACAACATTGATGTTGCTAAGGGAGACATTTGCCCCACTTTATGACCTTTCTTACCACAGTTGTTAAGTGAATCACTGCAGTTGTTAAGTTAGTAACACAGTTGTAAAGTGAATCTGGCTTTCCCTACTGACTTTGCTTATCAGGTCACAAAAGATGATTTTATGACCCTGGGACACTGCAACTGTCACAATTGTGAGTCAGTTGCCAGGTGTCCAAATTTTGATCACGTGATCGTGGGGATGCTACAATGGTCATAACTGGGAAAAACAGACATAAGTCACCTTTTTTCAGTGCCGCTGTAACTTTGAACGGTCACTAAATGAACTGTTGTAAGTTGAGGACTACCTGTAATGCTTAAATTAACCTGAGGAGAGCGTCTCTGCCACCTCAGCCCTACAAGGATGTTCTCTAAGCCTTGTCCTCAGCTGTGTTGAATCTGTTCTCTTTTGGGGTGGGGAGTAGCAAAAAATCTCATTCGGTGTTGTGAATTTCCTGCTTGAGTTATCAAATCCTCCTATTTTAATAGGCTCTCCCAGGGTGCTCCTTTCCATTTCATGAATCCGGAATCAAGCACTAGAGATTAACTTTCATTCCTAGATGAGTTGCTCTAGCTTTCAACTGCTGAAGCTTGCTAGTTTCTTCTGGAAAATCTGCCCAGTTTCCCAATTATGTATTTATTTAGCTAACATGGAAAGATCTCTCCTGATGGCTCACTTTTATTTGCCATAATGAAGTATTGCAAAACCTGGACACTTGAGACCAGTGCAATGGCAGTAATACTTCTCCAGGAAAAGTCATAACAATGTAGGGAGAATGCACACATGTTCTTGTTAAGTGCCCCGCGAGCAACAGGTGCCCTGCTGGAATCTCTGAATGTCTAAGGAATTTCTCAATCATGATTGTCCCAAAAGTGCTTTTTCCAAAAGACAACTGGACTTTCTTGGTTTTTTGTTTGAAAATGTTTTTGCTTCTTCAGTTCAGTTCAGATGAAAAGAGACAGGAAGAAAGTCTAGTAGGGACCTCCCCTACACCGATTTTCCATCTGCAGGCATTTTTATGAAGGTCTCATGTTTATTTTGTTTTATGGTGTTTTCTCTTTGAACTGACTGAAATGTTCAGATGGGGTAGACGGGGTTATGTGAAAGAAATATTGCTAAACAGTGTTTACTTATTTCTTTCCCTTCTTTGGGAGGAGAAGAAGAATGGAAAAGGTATTGCAGATCAAAAGCAAATTTCAGTTTGGTCAAATCAATCACCTTAATAGTGAAGCGTTTAAAAGATTGGATTTTATTCAGGCCCCTCTGAGCAATGAATTTCGCTGTGTGGCCTTCACCAGTCACTCTCAACTTATTTTGCAGAGTTCTTAGACTAAAGTGGAGGGGAAAAACTATTTTCCTCCCTTCACTAAAAGTAGGAAGCAGAAATATCACTGAGTTCAATTTTTGTGTTTTTGTGTGTGCCTGTGTGTGTGTGTGTGTGTGTGTGTGTGTGCATTGCATCTAGCAGAAATTATATCCTGCCCATCTTGTATGTACACATCACTTAGACTGCCTTACATTACCGTATGCTGTCTTCAATGGGGGGGGGGGGAAGAACAGGGAGTATATAATAACAGAAAAAAAATTATACAAATGTAAATAGTGTTGTCTAGCAACAAGTGTGTTCCTTGGCAAGGGTTACATAGAATGCCGGAAGATACCTGAAGCTTCAGATATTCAGGTATCTCTTGAATTTTCCTCCTGTGGTGATAGCAGACCATCGTACATTGGTATTGCATGCATGATATCATACATTTGTTATCGTCATCATCATCATCATCATCATCTCTTCACCAATCAGATTTCCTGTAACTCTTCAATGAACCAGATAGAATAGAACGGAACAGAACAGAACAGAACAGAATATAATAATAACTTTATTGTCACTTTGAATGTACACTAATCGGCATACATTAAAATGAAATTTCGTTGCGCACAGCTCTCAAAGGGTCACCACCTTCAATATATACTACATAAATATGCCAAAAATAAATAAATAAATAAATAAATACATAATTATGCATATATCCTGTTCATGGACTATTATTGCGGTTGCCATCAATGGAAAATATGTCAGAGAGGTATTAGTTTTGAGAATGTCCTGAAACAAATTGTTATTGAGCATGCGCACAGACAGACATGTACAGGTAGAACAACAGTTCATTTAGTGACCGTTCAAAGTTACAATGGCACTGAAAAAAGTGACTTATGATCATTTTTCACACAACGGTTGCAGCATCCCCACAATCACATGATCAAAATTCAGACACTTGACAACCCGTTTATATTTATGGCGATCGGAGTGTCCCGGGGTCATGTGAGCATCTTTTGGGACCTTCTGACAAAGTCAAAGGGGAAGCCAGATTCACTTAACGACTGTGTCACTAACTTAACAGCTGCAGTGATTCACTGAACGACAGTGGCAGGACGGGTTGTAAAATGGGGGCAAAATTCACTTAACAAATATCTCACTTAGCAACGTAAATTTTGGGCTCGACTGTGGCCGTAAGTCGTGGATTAAGTCAAGGACTATGTATGTGTTTGTGATGGGGGGGGAAGAATTGTCACAGGGAAGGAGTTCCGTGGTTTATAGTGCCACTTATCGAGAAGGCCCTACTCCAGGGGTAGGCAGCCTTGGCTCTTTTATGACTCGTGGACTTCAACTCCCAGAATTCCTGAGCCAGCATGGCTCAGCTTGGAAACCTCTCCCTTTCCCCTCAGCATGGCTGGCTCAGGAATTCTGGGAGTTGAAGTCCACGAGTCATAAAAGAGCCAAGGTTGCCTACCCCTGCCCTACTCTTTTTGAAGTTCACCGGCTCTCCTTTACACAGTTAGGTGTTTAATGCTAGCATATTAAATCAAGGCTGAGGAGAAGCAAATGATGAAGATGAAATTAAATCAAAATTCCACATTCCAATTTTTGCTAGACAATACAGGTAATCCTACGCTCCCAACCATTCGTTTAGTGAGCTTCGAAGTTACAACGGCACCAAAAAAAGTGACTTATGGCCAGTTTTCACACTTACGATGGTTGCAGCGTCCTCATGATCATGTGATTAAAATTTGGGTGCTTGGCAACCTGGCACGTGTTTATGAAGTGGCAGCATCCTGGGGTCATGTGACCAACATTTGCAATCATTGTAGGCAGCGTTTGAGAAGCAAAATCAATGCGGGAAGCCAGATTCTCCTTAACGACCAGCCAATTTCCTTACCAACTGCACTGATTCACTTAACAACCTTGGCAAAAAGCTTGTAAAATGGGGAATGACTGAACGAACAACTGCCTTGTTTAGCAGCTGAAATTCTGGGCTTAATTGTGGTCGTAAGCCGAGGACTACCTGTACTTTTGGTTAAAAAAAAAAGATTAGACCTTGTCTTTCTTCTTTTGTTGCCCTGCCATTGAAAAATTTAAAAAAAGTGAACTAAACCCTCCAATTTTTCTCATTACCTTGTGCAATCTGTACTCTTGCCTCACCAGACCAAAAGCAGTGCAGTAACCAGATGTGTAGCTATGCGTATTTGGCTGTGTTTTCTGTTTCTTGCAGTTCCAGGCAGATGGCCTGGAAAGAATGCTTATGGGTAAAGTGAATTGTTGCAATCTTTAATAGGTTTGAGGTTGTACAGCACATCTACCACTTATAGATATACGTATAGTTTTTTTCATGCCCACCTTTACTATTTATTTCAAAACCAAGGAGCAAGAAAGAATCATCCAGTGGAATAATAGAAAATACTTGTGGCTCGGGTTTTAGATTTTTGGCAGTGGTTTTGCTCTCCAAGCTTGTTTCAAATATAGTTTCTGGACATCTCGTTATCAAACTGGGTAACATTGGTAATCATCCAATGGATTATGTTTTCAGCAAGTTCATATTGTGGCGATCCCACAAAATTTCAATATTCCACAGAAACGGCATATCTGCAGATGGGAAGCTTCCTTTCTTAAACTACGTTACCATTTACGATATTGCTGTTTGATATCACAAACACGCCTCTCCAGTTTGGTCTCCACTGATGTTGGATTTCAACTCCCAGATTTGCCACCCAGCTCAGGAAAACAAGAGTGTGGGAAAGCTGAGTTGGAAGACAAAAGTCTAAAAAGAAAAAAAAAAAAGGGGGGGGGGTTCCCTAGTTGACCTAAGATCATATAATGGCTGGGAGTATACAGGTATAGTAGTTCTTGACTTACAACAGTTCCCTTAGTGACCGTTCAAAGTTACAATAGCACTGAAAAAAGTGACTTATTTTTTACACTTACGATCGTTGCAGTCTCCCCAAGATCAATGATCAAAATTCAGACAGTTGGCAACTGACTCATATTTATGATGGTTGCAGTATCCCGGGGCCATGTGAACATCTTTTGTGACCTTCTTATGAGTAAAATCAATGGGGAAGTCAGATTCACTTAATAACTGTGTTCCTAACTTAAGAACTGCAGTGATTCACTTCACAACTGTGGCAAGAAAGGTCATAAAAATGGGACAAAATTCACTTAACAACTGTCTCACTTAGTGTCAGAGCATGCACAGTCTTATTGCGCTGAGATAACCCAGGAGAAAACACAGTAAACAGTGGTCTATATTAAATGGTGATTTATCTTACACTATCTACAATATCATACATCAGGAACAATATATATACATGTGTTAATACAGCAGGCTCCAACCCACAGCAGTTACAGCAGGAAACGGAAGAGAGAGCACACATCTGCGGAGCCTTCCCTTTTATACAAAGGCTCTTAAAGAGACACAGACCCAGCTGGCTCTTAAAGGGACATAGACCCTGCTGAGTCATTTCCAACATTACATCATACATCTCACGTTATACAAGCTGGTTAGCTGTTAAATTATTACCTTGACACTTAGCAACAGAAATTTTGGGCTCAATTGTGGCTGTAAGTCAAGGACTACCTGTAGCCTATGCTAAACCAGAGACTAACAAGTTCCATTGACTTGAGGACCACACTAGGCTACTGGTAACATGTCAAGGGCGACACCCCAAAAACCTCTGAGGCTATATATCCCCATTTTTGAAGCAGATTTGGGGAGTGGTGCAGCAGGGCAACCATTTTGTCCTTTATAGCTTGCCAAATCGTACCAAATCCCCCCAAACCCTAAAATTTTGGTCCTGACTCCCCTCCAGGGGTCAGGATTATGGAAGGAATGCTGATGGATCTCATGTAGCCTCTGGACATCACATTTTGCACACCTGCGGTAGGCTAAAAAGTGAACTTTCTGGCCTTTGGCATAGCCTCTTTTGCGAACTTAGTGAGGACTGCAAACCGCAGTTTATTATCAAGCCAATTGTGACTTAACAGACTTTATAAAGATTCCTTAGCAGGTGAATACTGTGAATGAGTTGAACCAAATCTTGCCCTGTAGGTATACTACCCAACCCAATTCTGACATTTGTCGTTAGAGCAGTGGTTCTCAACCTTTCTAATGCCGTAACCCCATAATACAGTTCCCCATATTGTGGTGACCCCCAACCACTTATACATCACTGGGTGCCAGGGGCGTGGCCAAAGAAAAGGGGGAAAAATGGCGGACAGCCTTGTTTGGCGACCCCCATGAAATGGTCGTTCGACCCCAAATGGGGTCCCGACCCACAGGTTGAGAACAACTGCATTAGAGGCTCCTGTTGAATTGAATTTTTCTCTTGCTTTTCAGTTTGGATCCGAAGTCGTCTTTGGGTTTCGAAGAGAGAATGCTGGAAGGTCGGTCAGCCAATGATTCTTTTGCAGCAAGTTGGGTTTCCTCCTCTTCCTCCTCCTGAAACGCCCCCATCTCTTCCTATGTCAGTGGCCACCAGGCCCACAGCCACCTTGCCACTTTCACCACCGAAACCGCTGGGACCGGGGCCATCCTTGCCACTTGCTCAAGATGAGGAACTCGCCACGAGGGGGGAGCAGGACCCCTTGCTGGAAGAACTATGCAAGCCATTATGCTGTAGGCTTTGCAACGTTACCCTGAACTCTGCCCAACAAGCCCAGGCACACTACCAGGTGAGGATACCCTGTTTGCCTGTCCAAATCTCCTGTGTAGTTCAGTGGGTTTCACAGCCGAAGGTTGCCATTGATTGTCCAAGGTGATATCATTGGAGATGTCAGCGTATAAACTGCAGGCTAACTCTGCCCACAGCCCAGAGTTCAATCCTAATGGGCTCGAGGTTGACTCAGCCTTCCGTCTTTCCAAGGTCGGTAAAATGAGGACCTAGATTGTTGTAATATGCAAATTATGCTGACGTTGTAAACTCCGTAGAGCAGGGGTGTCAAACTGCCGGCTTGCAGGCCGGATGCGTCATGCCGAAACCACGCCCACCTCATTGCCAGCAATGGAAAAAAAAGTCATGATACGTCGTGACATGTCACGTGACGTGGCAAGTTTGAAACCCCTGCCCTAGAGAGTGCTGTAAAGCCCTATGGGGCGGTATATAAGTCTAAGTGCCATTGCTATAAACTGTAGTTTGTTTGAGAAGAAGCAGGTAGTCCTCGCATTCAACGTTGCAACCTACCTACAAAAAAGGGAATTACTGTGTTTCTCTGAAAATAAGACCCAATCGGAAAATAAGCCCTAGCATTATTTTTCAGGGCGCTTGTAATACAAGCCCCACCCCCAAAATAAGCCCTCAGTTAACATCGTCAGCCAGACGGACGCATTTAGTACCGTATTTCTCTGAAAATAAGACCTAACCGGAAAATAAGCCCTAATGCATCTTTTGGAGCAAAAAGTATGTCCCAGTTCTGAAGTTCTGACAGTTGGCTCCTCCGTGCTGGTCATGTGACCACATTTTGGGTGCTTGGCAACATGGCTGTATTTATATTGATTTGGGGCATCCCATAGTCACATGACTATGCTTTACGACTATTTTGCCTTAAACTGGAAGTTATTTCTGGTTTTCTGCAAAACTGCACCTTAGCGAACAATGGGTTCGCTTACAGTAATGAACGTGGCAGTTGTTTTACGATAGCCATATTTGCTTAATGACTGCCACAGAATAGTCATAAAATTGGGTTGACGTGACTGATTTAATTTACGACTGTCACAACCTATGACTGTAATGGGCAGAATTCATTGTGGTTGTAAATTGAGGACTACCTGAACTGGCACACTGTTCTGGGTCATCTTTAGACAGCTCCTGTTATTGGACTAAAAGCTGAATTATAAAACAGGAGTCGTGCTTCACACAAAACCTTTGCCATAAGTTTGCAATACAGAGATTATAAATGAAGCATCTCCTTTTCAAAGAAGCCTGCTCTTTTTTCCTGTGATCGTGGCTTGTAAGAAGGGTTTCTGTTTTGAAAGACAAGGTATAACTAATTGGAATGAACTATGATAAACATAAGGAAAGAATAATAATAGGCCCAATGAAGTAAAAATTGGAGGCTTGAATTCTACTTCATTTTTTAAAATTATATAATGATCAGCATAGAAATCCAGTAATCTCATAAAAAGGACAGGATTCCTGAAAAATAATATTCAGGATAAAAAGCTTACTTTGATTGTAAGACAGAACACAGTCATATACTATAATAGCCATATTCTATACCAGGAGTAGGCAACCTTGGCTCTTTTATGACTCGTGGACTTCAACTCCCAGAATTCCTGAGCCAGCATGGCTTAGCTTGGAAACCTTTCCCTTTCCTCTCAGTATGGCTGGCTCAGGAATTCTGGGAGCTGAAGTCCACGAGTCATAAAAGAGCCAAGGTTACCTACCCCTGTTCTATACCATTTATAATCCTACCTAGTACGTATCCATCAAGGCCAAAAATCTGATTCCCCCCCCCAGTGAATTTGTCTACTTCCCATCCCACCATTTAATGGCGATGCATTCCATAATTAATTCAGCTTTGTCCATGTAATTTGGGCTTTGCAGACTGACGGAGGAGGGGGAGAGGGGATGATTCCCTGTGAATGGCTGGCAAGTGTGCTTGTCCAGCTCCACTTGTGCGAGTGGTGTGCATAAACACATGCCAGTTGCCAAGTAACACAGATTTTGATCATGTGACCGTGGGGATGCTGCAGCAGTTGTTAAGTGTGAAAACCAGTCATAAGTCGCTTTTTTCAGTGTTGTAACTTCAAATGGTCACTAAAGGAATGGTTGTAAGTTAAGGACTACCTGTATCTCTCCAAAGTCAGGGAGATTACACCTGTTCTAAAATCTGGGTAAAAATCACCTTCTGAAATTATGCTGCTTTTTTCCCCACCTTCCTAGTTTGATTACAAAGACCTGTTTCTTAACAGAGGAATGTCTCTCTGTTCAAGAGCTATTTTAGACTGAATGGCCCATCAGGACCCCACTCCTGATGTAGATGTGTTCAAGACTCTTTGATAGGGAGCAGTTTCAAGCATTCTATGGGGTAAAAAGGGTCCTTCAACCCCTGCAAGGCTTAAAGCACTAATTTCCCTCCTTCATCTAACCACAAATCCACCCTTCATGGAACACCCCCCACCAAAAAAAACCCTAGAAAAGGAAGCTCTGAAGATTTAATTCCACCACTTAGTATTGATGGCTTACGAAGGAATGGTGGTAGGTCACTGATGACTTTGGTGCAGTTTGTGCTAGGCCAGGGGTAGGCAACCTTGGCTCTTTTATGACTCGTGGACTTCAACTCCCAGAATTCCTGAGCCAGCATGGCTCAACTTGGAAACCTTTCCGTTTCCCCTCAGCATGGCTGGCTCAGGAATTCTGTGCTAGGCTAATAACAGAAATTTGATTTTCCAGGGTAAAAACCACAGTAAGAAACTTCGGAATTACTATGCTGCCAATAGCTGTCCAGCTTCTGCCCGAGTGAGTAACTCTCTTGAGCCAGCTACTCATCCAATGGTGTCCCTTGCACCCCAGGTAATGATGTGTAGCAGTGCCATATTAATCAATCAGTAGTGCATCTTCTTTCAGAAAACTGGATATTGCATATTGTTTTGTTGGGTTCTGATTTCTGTGTTTTCTTTTAAATCTAAGTTTAATTCTGTTTTCTTACAAACTGTTGAGGTGGTTTGTTAAAAAGCAGAGGGTGACTATTGAACTTTAAGGCAAATTAGATGATGTACTAAATGTGTGTTTATTTTAAAGTGTTCAGGTTTTATTCTTAAATGGTAACTTAATTCATTGCTCCCAGCACTTCAATCTGTTTCTCCCCAAAGCTGCTGCCTCTTTGCAGATTTAAGAAGGTTTTCTTGAATGTACCAATTCCTTCCCTTCTCTAGGGACTGTTATTGTTTAAATATAAACAACTAAGCTTAAGCATACATATATTTACTATATTGTCTAGATCAGTAGCTCCCAACCTTTTCTATACCCCGCACCCCTAGAACGCTTCTGATATATTCTCACACCCCTTACAAAAGTTCGAAATAACAGCAACGAATTATGCATATACACATAATTTTGAAAACCCAAGTTTTTGCACTCCCTGGAATATCGTCTCGCACCTCTGGTTGGGAACCCCTGGTTTAGATGAAGCTTCGCTGAGTGGTCCTGCTATAAAAGCTTATAACCTGATTCGCACATTATGTTCAGTTATGGTTTACTTAATCATAATATATTGGCTATACTACAATTGGCTTGGTTCACACATTATGCTAAGCCACGAACCAGAATTCACAAAGCAAAGTGGTGTATTCATGCAGCATTCTTAATGAAAACAAACTACAATTTAACTTAGTAAATTGTGGCAACCAAGTCTGTGTGCTTTGCGCTGATAGTTCTCTTGGGGTTGCGGGCCAACATAGGATTTCTCTTTCATTGGAACGTGATTACACTCGTATCATTTGGTGGCATTTTTCCAGCATTAAATGGAGGAGACTGGGGAGTGTGTTCAATGAAGGTCAAATAAGATTGTGGTTCATCTGCCTACCCATTTGCAAATTTCAGTGATCACCCATTCTTTTAATCAAATATATATAAAACAACACCCAAAAGAAAAATAAAAGATGCCAGTTTATATTTTGAAACCACTATGACTATGTGAAGATTTTAGTTTTCTTGAGAAGTCTATAATGATGGGAAAAGTGGAAGGAAAGAGAAGAGGATGGCCAGCAGAGGAAGAACTGAAGGATCAGGTTGAGTATAGATCATAGCTGGGTGGAGTAATTCAGGACTGGAATTTGAACAAGGTACTTCTTCCTTCTACTGCATCAGGGGTCTTCAAACTTGGCCCTTTTATGTCTTGTGGACTTCAACTCCCAGAATTCCTCAGCCAGCATTGCTGGCTGAGGAATTCTGGGAGTTGAAGTCCACAAGTCATAAAAGGGCCATGTTTGAAGACCCCTGTAGTAGATGGATCACATGAAGAAGACTAGCAAATGTCCGATCATCCATCTCTGTGTCTGCAGATATCCCTTGTTGCCCATCAAGTTTCTTTCTCTGCCCTGCTTCTTTGAATCTAGAAAAATAAGCACGTATGTTTCTCTAAGCAACCCCCATTTATCTGTTACAGATAGTCCTCAACTTACAACTATTTGTTGAGTGAGCATTTAAAATTACAACAACACTGAAAAAAGTGACTTATGATCGTTTTTTTTTCATGCTCATGACTATTGCGGCACTCCCATGGTCACATGATCGAAATTCGGATGCTTGGCGACTGGCTCATATTTATGGGGGTTGCAGTGTCCCGGGGTCATGTGATCCCCTTTGGCGACCTTTTGACAAGCGAATTTGGGAAGCCAAATTCACTTAACCGTTTTACTAATTTAACAACTTAACAACCGATTCACTTAACAACCGTGGCAACAAAGGTCATAAAATGGGGCAGAACTCATTCAGTGGTGAAAAAAGCAAGGTTCTACATTTAGGCAAGAAAAACCAAATGTACAGGTATAGTATAGGGGGTACCTTGCTCAATAGTAGTAACTATGAGAGGGATCTCGGAGTCCTAGTGGACAATCATTTAAATATGAGCCAGCAGTGTGCTGCAGCTGCCAGAAAAGCCAACACAGTGCTAGGCTGCATTAACAGAGGGATAGAATCAAGATCACGTGAAGTATTAATATCACTTTACAATTCCTTGGTAAGGCCCACTTGGATACTGCATCCAGTTTTGGTCACCACGATGTAAAAAGATGTTGAGACTCTAGAAAGAGTACAGAGAAGAGCAACAAAGATGATTGGGACTGGAGGCTAAAACATATAAGGAACGGTTGCTAGAATTGGGTATGTCTAGTTTAACGAAGAGAAGGACAAGGGGGGACATGATAGCAGTATTCCAATATCTCAGGGGCTGCCATAAAGAAGAGGGAATTAAGCTATTTTCCAAAGCACCTGAAGGCAGGACAAGAAGCAACGGGTGGAAACTAATCGAGGAGAGAAGCAACCTAGAACTAAGGAGAAACTTCCTGACAGTGAGAACAATTAATCAGTGGAACAGCTTGCCTCCAGAAGCAGTAAATGCTCCAACACTGGAAGTTTTTAAGAAGAGACTGGACAGCCATTTGTCCGAAATGGTATAGAGTTTCCTGCCTGAGCAGGGGGTTGGACTAGATGACCTCCAAGGTGCCTTCCAACTTTATTATTATTATTATTATTATTATTATTATTATTAACAACTGTCTCACTTAGCAGTGGAAATTTTGGGCTCCGTTGTGGTTGTAAGTTAAGGACTAACCTGTAGAAAACTGACATTTTGGTGTGTGGATCATGGGAATAAATAGGTATTATAACATCTGATGTACAGATATTATATTGCCTATGTATTTCGCCATTCAACATACTGTTATATATTTTATAACTAGTTCCTGGCCTCTGCCTAAAATTAAAGTTACTTTAATGGCAACTTCACTAATTTATTTTCTGAGAAGCAGGACTACCTAGCTGCCAAGTGGAGAAGGCAACCCCTAAGACACATTCAGATGTGTCCACAAGCCTGAAAGGATTGGGAAACTGTAGAATAAATGATCCTGTGTTTTCTAGAAGAAACACAGAGAAAATTGGCATTCATATATCTCTTTCAGTATAGTTCAGTTCCTTTAATTAAGGGAAATTAATTATATTCCCTCAATTCAAGTGTAAATTCATAAGGCTGGCCACTGGGTGGAGGCAGTTTCTTAGATTAAAAAAAAAAAGAGCTTCTTTAAAATCTAAAATGTCTTTTCACAGTACTTACCCTCATAAAAGCAAATGGGTGTCATTGCTGTGTTGGGAATAATTTCCAGTGAAGTCAGCTATGATACTACGATTTTACAAAGAAGTTTGAAAAGGAGACCCATCAAAAATTTACTAGTAGCAGTGAACCAACCAATCAGTGTCTCAGCCTAAAGACTGTTGGGCAAATAACGGACAGATGAAAATGAAAATTGAAAAACGTTGAATTCGCTAAGGAAATAGAATGTAAATAAGCTTTAAAACTGAAATTTTCATTTGTGGATAGGCTGCTGAAGCACAGAATTTGGGGGTCAATTTACGAAAACAATACAATGCAATTGTATTCCTTTCAATAAAAGCCAGAAAGAAGATTACAAATTAGCTAGTTAAAGTATGATTAATCCTTTCCCCATTGACTGTCCTTCTCAGAAGCTGTCTGGGAAGATTGCAAATGGCGACCACAAGAGCTTGGGACACTGCAACCATTGTAAATACATGGTGGTTGCCAAGCACTTGAACTGTAATTACACAACTGTGGGGTGCTTTGACAATCATAAGTCCAAGAACCAGTCATAAGTCACTCTTTTCTGCATCATTGTAACTTTGAACAATCTCTAAATAAATGGCTGTAAGCTGAGAACTACCTGAAGGGAGATTCAGACTACACGTCAAGATGAATTTCCCGATGATAAGAGCTGTTGAAAATCAGGGATGTCCAATCTAGGCAACTTTTAGAACGGTGGACTTCAAGTCCCAAAATGGGAGTTGAAGTCCACCAGTCTTAAAGTTGCCTGGATTGGACATCCTGTGTTAAACAATGGAAAAGTTTTTTTTAAGAGCTCTGCTAGTCTCCCCTCTTGGGGGTAGTTGATGGATTTCCAAACTACAAAAAACTGGATCAAATAACTTTGCCTCCAATTCATACATAAAGTTTCTAAACATGCTTTTAAACACGGAGTTTCTCTGTAGAAAACTCAGGACTGGGGACAAAAGAAAATCTCTGTTTCAGCTGTTACTGACTGCATTTCATTGAGCTGGAGTCTTTCTTTTTTTTTAAAGTTTTTATTTTCCATTTTTCATTACACTCATACAAAATACTTCAGATAACGAGTAAAATAAATTTATACACACAACTTTCGGTATTGCTCACTCATTTCCCCCCAAACCGCATCCTCCCTCTGACTTTCTGCCTTACTTCCCTCTTCCTCCCTCTTCTTCCTCACCACTCTCCTCCTCTCCTCTTTCTCCTCCACCTTCCTACTTGCTTCTCCCCTTCCTCCTACCTGAGCTGGAGTCTTGTAAGGACTTTTGGACTGCTTACGAAGTCATATAGATAAACATGGTAAAAATCAAAGCTGTAACACTAGGTCAAAAAATACTGTATTGACAGCTTTTGGGATCTCATTCAGAATTTTTGTTTGGAAAGAAAACAAATGCTTTGATATATCTAAATATATCCTCCTTTTTTGCCCAGGGGTCCTCCCCGAAACCAGGAGGGCGAGTGATCTTGGCCACGGAGAACGATTATTGCAAACTGTGTGATGCGTCCTTTTCTTCACCAGCAGTGGCCCAGGCTCACTATCAGGGCAAGAACCATGCCAAAAGGCTGCGGCTGGCTGAGGCACAGAACAACTCATTCTTGTAGGTATTATTAAACGCTCAGCAATGGTAACGGGCTTCAGTAGTTCCGCTAACGTTTCCTGCTGACGCCTGTACATTTTCATCACCTCCCTGCAACTAACTGGTGTTTTCCTACTGTCACTAAACAGAGAGTCGTCTGAAATGGCCGGTAAAAGGAAAGCACGAAAAGAAGGGAACGAATTCAAGATGATGCAGAACAGAAGGAATGTTTATGCCGTGCAAAATAACACAGGTATGGTCAAGATTGGCAAGAGTCTTTGGTATTCTCCAGGGCTTTCCCAGGCCATACCACAGCAATTTGGTGAGAATTATTTATTTATTTATTCGCTTCACTAGAGTAAGACTAAAAAGCAGAGGTTTTCTCTCGCCAAACTTGGTAACTTTTAAGATTTGTGGATTTCAACTCCCAGAATTCCGCAGCCAGCCATGGCTGAGGAGAGTAGGAGTCCAATAATCTGGGAGTTCGAGTCAACTGATCTTAATGTTGCTAAATTTGGAGATCACTGTTCTAAGCCAAGGAAACACCCACATTTCGGCCCTAGTTCCTCACCTTGTTAAAAAATGTGCAGAACTGAATATCAAAGGGTCCTGTTCTAATAACACATCACACCACCCTGCTTCTCAGGAACTCATAAGCTCTTCCGCACAATGCTGTCATGTTGTGCAATCCTCTCCCCCTCTAGGTGCTGCAGTTTAAGTCTTCTTAATACAGGTAGTCCTCAGTTTATGACCATAACTGAATTCAATTTTCCATTGCTAAGCAAGATAGTTGTTAAGTGAGCATTGCTTCATTTTACTTTTGTTTGCCACAATTGTTGTCAAGTGAATCACTGCAGTTGTTAAGTTAGCAGCACGATTGTTAAATGAATCTCGCTTTCCCCATTAGCTTTGCTCATCAGAAGGTTGCAAAAGTTGGGTCACATGACCTCGGGACACGGCAACTGTGCTAAATACATGCCAGTTGCCAAGCATCCGAATTTTGATCATGTGACTACAGGGATGTGGCAATAATCGTAAGTCACTGTTTTCAGTGCTGTTGTAACCTTAAACCGTTACTAAACCTTGCAAGTAACGAACGGACAGTTGTAAGTCAAGGACTACCTGTATTCGAGAAAATGTACGGGTTCTCATGAGTTGGTGATATGCTTTGAGGGTGGAACCAGCTGAGCTCTGGTGGACGTCATCTTTGGGGAAAATTCTTCCTGGTTGTCTGTCTCCAAAAAATGTTTTGCTTGCTTTCCTCCAGGCCCTTATTTCAACCCCCGCTCCCGTCAGCGGATACCTCGTGACCTCGCCATGTGCGTCACCCCCAGCGGCCAGTTCTACTGCTCCATGTGCAACGCCGGGGCCAGCGAGGAGATGGAGTTCCGGCAGCATTTGGAGAGCAAGCAACACAAGAGCAAAGTCTCCGAACAGCGGTATAAGAACGAGATGGAGAACCTCGGCTACGTCCAATGAGACTCGATCCCCGATAGCCGCTCTTTTTTTTTTTTTTTTGACTTTTCCCTATGTAGGGAGCAGCTTCTGCTTGCTTGCCTGCCACGTGCCCTGCATCTGTGCTCTGTGCCTTAGGAGGCCTGCTCCCCAGCTCTCTCTGTGCTTCTCACAAACCTAACAGTGAAGTCAATGAATTTAAGTCAAAAAGACAAGAGAAACGGGGTCACACCTCCCCATTGGCAGGAATGTGTGCTACAGGATATTGGATGTTGATGTGTCTGGCCCGTTAGCTGCCTTCGAAAGAGAACCTGCCCCTTTCACTGATCCCCTGCCATCCCCCTTGCATGAGTGAGCTTTGCTTGGGAAGGTAGCGAAGGGTTCATCCCCCCCCCCTCTCTCTTTTTGCTGTGCATCACGCCACGTTTGCATATGGCGACTTGGTGAAACAAAGGACAAAGGGTCAGCCTACGGCGGCGTCACCTGTCTGGGGAACGCTTCCAATTCCTCCTCCCTGGTTAAGTCCCATCATCTCCAGCTGTGCAACGATTTGGGAGAGCAGAGGCAGGAAAGACCTCTGTGGCCAGTCAGAATGATAAGAGCTGAGCGAATTGAACCAGTAGGGACCCGGCTGCTATTAAACAGTAACGGAAAAAAAGGGGAAAAAATGTAAGCGCACCAAGTGAATCTTGGAAAGAGTGAGTCTTAGGATGTAAATTCTTTTTAAATCAGTATCTTTTTTTTTTTTTAGGCCCACCTAGAAGCCAGGAAAAAGATGTGTTGTTTTAATAAATAGCAACCTGAGGCTATGCCCAGGCGAGGTCTGAAGCGTTTTCAAGACAGGCACTACACTCAAAAAGGCTTCAGGCTTCAGTTCCATAGCATCCGGTTCTTTTACATCCTCAAGTTGCTGTAGCTTCCTGCAAAAATAATCATTTATTATTATTCTGGGGGAAGATCCAGTGCTGGGTTTGAAACCAAATTCAAGTATGCTTGGGTGTAGTATATTAGAATGAATGAGAGAATTTCCTTTCCCTAATTTGAGGCTTTGCATCTGTTGGAATTGCTGCTGAGATGATGCTGACTTGGTACTTTGAACGAAATAGGAAAAGCAGTTCCCAAATTATTTTGTAATAGGTGGGGTCTTTTCCCTTCCTGATACTTTCATTAATTGATTTTTTTAAAAAAATGCTTTCCATTTTTGGCAAAACATCCACAAGCAGTCTGGGCATTACTGATTTGAGAACAAAAATCTGAAAATGAGTTCTTTTGGTTTGTACTGTACTGTTTTGTTTTGTTGTTAGTTCTAGCAATGGAGGCCAATAGCCTCCAAATCTCCAGAATGATGCTTTCAGATGCAACTCCTTCCCATAAAGCACATCCTAGACTGGGATTGGCAACTATGGCCCCTTTATGACCTGTAGACTTCAACTCCCAGAAATCCTCGCTCAGGAATTCTGGGAGTTGAAGTCCACAGGTCATAAAATGGCCATGGTTGCCCACCCCTATCTTAGACAAATGCATAGGTACTATGCATGAAATATATGCTTTATTTGTGAACTTCTAACCCAAATCAAGTAAAACTCTTCTCATTAGCAGTCTCTGTCCTTGTCTGGAGGTTGACCATGTAGATGGCCACCAACTTCTATCTCGAACATGCTTGCAGGAATAACATTTTGTTGCAATTTCAACTGTTAGAGGAATTGATGTTCTCTCTCTTTTAAATATGCTCCCGTGGTTGAATGCCTGTTCAAGTGACAACGATGCAGCATTCCACCATAACACCAACACGATGCAAACCTCTCTTCCTCATGGGCGTCTTTTTGTTTTTAACTTTTCATTTGTAACCTTCTAAGTTTTAAGCTTTGGGAAAGTTGCTTTTCTAATTCTCCTAATCACAGTCCTTAGAGGTAGGTGCTAAAAGCTCTCCACCCCAACCCTGTTCAGATGTGTTGGATTTCAATTCCCACAATTCTACCACCACCATATACGAGAGTTCGAAACTTAGCACATCTGGACACACTAAATAGGGTTTAATCCTTTGCTAGGTTCAGCCCTATTGTTAGAGATGATAACTTTCCTTTGCAAGTGGGAGAAAAGACTAGATTTGAAATGAACACAAAGAACATATCCATGCAAAGAAATGAAAAACTGAGGTACTTAAGATAGGAATTGAGACGGAGGAGTGCCTAATTACTATTTGTCCTAAAACCCAGCTGTTGATTTCATTGAGAACAGATCTATCAAAAATCCAAGTGGATTATGAAAATCCAAGTGGATTATTTTGCTTTTACCAATAGAAGAGAATATTTGTAGCTCAGGGTTGAACTGTGGGGTACTTGGTGCTCTCTGAGCTTGGTGGTTTTCTTGCAGACATTTCCTTACCCAACTAGGTAACATCATCTGAGAGCAAACCCTAGTCCCTTCTAGCACTCACAATTTAAGAAAACAAGTTCAGAGAGCATCAAGGACTCCAGATTAGCTCTTGAAGATAAAAGATTGGTATCTTTTTTGGCATAAATCTTCAGCCTGTTTGGAAGTTTGCAGCCATAATGATTACAGACCTTAAGAGGTGACAATTGGAAAGGGAAAACAAAGGAAATGAAATATTTATCAAGTTGTCTCACTGGCCAGTAGATTGATTTTTTTTTTTGTATGTGTGCTGCTACTAATCTGTATATTTTTGTATTTATTTTGATCATGCTGACCATTAATAAGCTCACAAATATTTAAGGGGTTATCTGATGGTTTTTATTTTTTTGCTGCTTTTTTAATTTTGATAACATACATATCATTACTTTTTTGAAAAGTTATTTATTATGTTTCTAGAAATGTGTTTTCTTTTGACCTTTCCATGAATGTTTTGTTCTTAAATGATCCCTATAGGATCCAGTCATTGGAACTGAGTGGCCAAGCAAATACTATGCGGTAACATCAATCTTTGATTGTTTAGGACTATGATGCTACTTAGGATTTGTAGCTTTGTCTCTGTAAAACATAGGAGCATTATCTTTATTGCAACATTGCCATTTTCTCATGGGTCTATCCGACCTGGCTCACATATCACACTACTAAGCCATGTTTTATTAATAACCCACAACTGAGTTCATATATCACACTAAGCCAAACAAGTACGGTTTACAAACCAGAACAGCTAGTCTAAAGATGGCAGTGGGTGGTTTTTCTGGAGGATAGTTATGGTATTTTAAATAAAGGGTCAAATCATTAAGAGCTAATCTTGAGTTTAAATTTCCTCCCAAGTTGACCAATGTTTCTGTATAGCTTGTTGCCAGATCAGACATATAATCTAGATCAGGGGCATCCAATCTTGGCAACTTGAAGAATTGTGGACTTCTAGAATTCACCCTGCCAGAATTACAGGCTGGAGAATTCTGGGAGTTGATGTCCACAAGTCTTAAAGTTGCCAAGATTAGGTACCTCTGATCTAGATCTTGCCATGTTTCTTTATGCAGGGGTTCTCAACCTTGGCTTTGCTGGCTGAGGAATTCTGGGAGTTGAAGTCCACAAGTCTTAAAGTTGCCAAGGTTGAGAACCCCTGCTTTATAGCAAGACTACGTCAACCGAAGTGCTTAAGCCTAAGTAGAACTTAAATGTGTCAAGTTTAACCTAGTGTACTTTCAATTGGAAATTAATATACACATGGGGCTTTAATATATCCAAATGGGGAAGAAGTTGCTTCCTAGGATATTGTGTGATATCTGTCCAGCTTTAGCATCCCTCTCAGTCATGTTCCCAGCAGTGAAATAAAATCAAGGTTTGCTATAGAATGAATGAATATTACATGGATCCTTTCTAATCTCCATTCTTATAAGGTTTTTTTTTTAATGTCTTTGTTTTCTCCTTGGTTGATCTTCAGAATAGAAGTAGTGTCTTTTGCAGGATGCTTGCATAAGTCACCCTGCATTTTTTCAAGGCACGTCTTTGTAAATGGATGGATGAGCAGTAAATTAAGGAAAATGATGCAGCGAGACCTGAGGCTGGGCCCTTCCTTGTAACAATTTAGGAGGAGCTCAAAACACCTATTTTTCCTCCATTTGTTATTATACATTTTTGAAAGAATGTAAGAAATAGATGACACAGGTAGTGAAATACAGGCAGATATGCACCTGATCTGAAATCCATAGCTAGTATAGTGTAATACATCATTAGAAACTTAAAAGTACTGTGAGATATTTCATATCTATTTTCTAAACAAAATTTTCCTGCCTCTATTGAACTTTCAGCTAAAGCTTGGTTAATTTAGTTCAAGTCATTAAAAAAATATAGATAGTAAATAATACATTAAATCTCCATAGAGATTGTCAGACATCCAGGTCACCCAGGTTGTCTCAAAGAGGATTTTAAAAAAAAATAAAAAATAAAAAAACATTCCAGTTGCTTTTTAAAAAACGGAAAAGCACCTTTGAGAATACGTTAAAGCAATTCTATAAACCAGTGTTTCTCAACCTCAGCAACTTTTAAGATATGTGGACTTCGACTCCCAGAATTCCCCAGCCAGCCACTGCTATAAACTATATATCACATTAGGATATGAATTCTAAAAATTTTGGATGTAGCATGATTCTGTGCATAATAATAATCTAGTCCTAGAATGGTTTTCAATAAGAATTAAATTTCTGTATAGGTAGTCCTTGACTTACGACCACAATTCAGCCCAAAATTTCTGTTGCTAAGTGAGACATTTGTTAAGTGAATTTTCCTCCATTTTACGACCTTTCGTGCCACAGTTGTGGGGTGAATCTCTGCAGTTGTTAAATTAGTAACACGGTTGTTCAGTGAATCTGGTTTTCACATTGACTTTGCTTGTCAGAAAGTAGCAAAAGTTGATTACATGACCACGGGACACTACAATGGTCATAAATGTGAGTCAGTTCCCAAGAGCCTGAATTTTGACCACATGAGCATAGGGATGTTGCAACGGTCGTAAGTGTGAAAAACGGTCATAAGTCACTTTTTTCAGTGCCGTTCTAACTTTGAAGGGTCACTAAACGAACTGTTGTAAGTCAAGAACTACCAGTATAATGTTACTCTAAATACCGTGGGAGGCGTCCTCCTTCAATTTAGTTAACCATTCTTCCAAAGAGAGAACCCTTGCAGCCACCTTGATCTTTTTAAGTATTAAGATTTTCCATTTGTCTGGAAAATCAACTACACCTAAATAAACTACAGTCAAGGCTATCAGAAACCGGCATTTTGTTCCCACTGCTTAGGCAATAGGTTCAGCTTGAGTTGGTAAGCCTATTTTGTCATTGCAATAACACACAATATTAATGTTTTCATACTGAGCAGTTGGCCACAAGTTATGGAACGTCTGAATGTCCGAATCTTGCTTAGATCTTATTTGGCTCTTATTCATTATCATTAGATCAGCCTGATGGCATTGACATTTTGTAGGAGCTGGCTTAGAGATTTGAGTACCCCAGAAATCCTTACTAACTTTGTTAAAGCTCATCTGTAGAGAGACCTGGTTAAATTAATTTAAATTATTGAATCTAAGCACCTCCTGACTCCAACATGGAAGGTACAATGTAATAAAACCATAAAAGAGAGCAGGAACTTGATGCCAAGTCTGTCTAACAACATCCACACCCCCAAAATAAATCTGACAGGGGCCTCAACACTCTAATCCAGGGCCCAGAAAAATAGCCGGTTCTATTAAGGCTTTCAGAAACATCAGGTTTAATTTGAAAGGTTCATTGGTTCTTCATTATCTTTTCTTTTTTACTGCACAATAATAAAGATTCAGTCTGTGATATGTTCTTTCTTTTGTTGAGATAAGAGTCGAAATAGGAATTTAAATTTTATCTCCCATCTGGATACTGATAACTCTCTCTTAATATAGTATTTTGTGCTTCCATAATAATTGTTAAATTTAGCTACAAGGTTTAGGATAACAATTTTTGTTAAAAAATGAAGGAGCCCTTTTTGCTATTTATTATTGTTAAAGATTAAAAAGTGCAAATTACTGTCTGGCATTAACAGACGTTGCCTAGATATAAAATTGGAGGCACTTTTCATTTCCATCATGTAAAATTGCCATCATGAACCTCTTTTGCAGAAGCTGAAATTGCTGTGGGGGATGGAAGTGTATGCTATGATAGCAGTTGTAAAGAGATCAGTTGCAAAATATTTCCGATTATCTGATTCTTTCCGAAAGGAGGAAGGGATAATTACTTTTTTTTTCAATCTCGGTTTGAGATTGTCCCATTCTAAAACATCGTACCAGTTTGACATATAAGTACTGTAAGACTTGTATTATTTTTACTTGGAAATTCTCGTTCTTGAATGCTAAGCATTCAGTAATTTGGGGTTGTTTTGAAAGCTTGGGAGGGATGTTGACCGTTCCTTCTTTCGCTATACCCTTGCTCCAAATTCATAGACTCATACGATTATTAGAAGAGAACTTGGAGGTCTTCTACAACAGAGGTCTCCAACCTTTCTCAGTTGGTGGACCAGAGGAAAAGGGAGGGGGAAGTATTTTATGGGCGCATGCGCACATACAAATGGGGCCGTGAACACACATGACGCAAATGGGATGGTGCTAGGACATGCCTGGCACTCGCTAGCACCGCCCCATTTTTGCCACGCAGCACCTCATTTGCGTAGTGGCGGCGCTAGCGTGAGTGGGGACAAGTGCGCGCACACATGTGCATACTGGCCAGCCTGTTCCATGGCCCGGTGACCAGTAGGCCACGGTCCGGTAGTGGGTCGTGGGCCACAGGTTGGGGACCCCTGTTCTACAACATCCTATCCAGGACAGAACCTCATACCTCTCAGAGAAGTCACTATCACCACTATTCAGCAGTGTTTAGTTTTCAATTTCACATTCTGGCTTAAAGAAGATTTAATTTCAGTAAAAAGACATTTGTCAGATTTACTTACCAGGACATTTTTTTTTTTTTGAAATGTGGAATTTTAGTCTTTTCCCAAGGATGGCACAATTACTGAATGTGATTTGAGTGAAGGGATGCCTTGATCCTATGTTTGGCATGCCGTGAGCTGCTTAGAGTTTACAAAAGTTACCTTCAGAGAAACCCAGATGATGTGGTTTATTCAGGATGCTCCAACCTTTTTAAGACTGTGGACTTCAGTTCCCAAAATTCAGAACTCAACACGGCTGGCTGAGGAATTCTGGGAATTGAAGTCTACAAATCTTAAAACTGCCAAGGTTGGAGACCCCAGCCGGTTTTAGCTTAGAGCAGCAGTTCTTAAACTCAGTCAGAGCCTGTGGGGTGAAGGCTCTTAAACTACATAGAAGAGGGTCACAAATTTTAAAAAACCCAGCTTTGCACAGACAGAGTAGCAGTGCTGTAAAAGCTTGTTTGGGGCTTAGTCCTAGTGGAGAATTATTGACACCTACATTGATATATAATTATCACTGTCAGATTTATTTCTTAGCTAAATCTACCACCAAAGAAAGTTTTGCTGGGGTTTGGGGTGGGGGTGGGGAAACACAAATTGTTTTGGGTGTCATGGTACTGCAAACTTTGAGGACTGCTGGCTTAGTGTAATATGTGAATCCAGCTACTGTGATTTGTAAACCATTTGTGGCTTAGCACCCAGTATAAACTCAACTGCTAGGGCTGAGACAACATTTGAACCTTATCTGGTTTAAATATGTTTTTTTAATGTGATGTTAGAATCCAGCTGCTGCTTTCCACAGAGATGCCCACGACTTAATAAACTTACTGAGTTGTGCAGTGCAAGAGTACTCACA